TATATATATATATATATATATATATTCCTGATAATTAAAGACATTTTTATCCTTTTTCATTCACAAAAGTACTCGTTCATTTATTGCATCCAAAGACAACATGAAACTTTTTTTCTAAATAGAAAATTTTAATGAAACATAGAAATTGTGCAGAAGGCAATTTGGAACCACAGAATTAGCAGAATTTTACATGAGAAGAAAGTGAATTGTTGTAAGAGTGGATAAGGATAGGTGCAGTTTGTTGGTGATAACTTTAGACCGACAGATGTACTGAGAATATAAGGATATCTAGGAATTTGACATACAGTATTGTTTTGATTGCAACCATACCAAGAAATTCAAATTTTTATTTCAAAATTTGGTCAGGAGAAACAAGACCACATCTCTATAAAAATATTAAACTTTTTCTGATAGATCCAATAATCTAACATCATTAGGAATCAAAGTTAAAAGTAATTTAAATTATTTTTTCAACTTCTGATATATCTTTTAACAACAAAATCGTAATTGAATTTAAAATTTTAAAATAAAATAATATCTTAGATACATAATAATATGGAAAATGATACTTGAACAACCATTTTTGACAACATTTAGACACGCGCACACGTGTCAAAATCTGAGTGGTCCATTTTCATTTAATTTTTTCAACTGGACCACTCAGATTTTGACACGTGTGCGCGTGTCTAAATGTTGTCAAAAATGGTTGTTCAAGTATCATTTTCCATATTATTATGTATCTAAGATATTATTTTATTTTAAAATTTTAAATTCAATTACGATTTTGTTGTTAAAAGATATATCAGAAGTTGAAAAAATAATTTAAATTACTTTTAACTTTGATTCCTAATGATGTTAGATTATTGGATCTATCAGAAAAAGTTTAATATTTTTATAGAGATGTGGTCTTGTTTCTCCTGACCAAATTTTGAAATAAAAATTTGAATTTCTTGGTATGGTTGCAATCAAAACAATACTGTATGTCAAATTCCTAGATATCCTTATATTCTCAGTACATCTGTCGGTCTAAAGTTATCACCAACAAACTGCACCTATCCTTATCCACTCTTACAACAATTCACTTTCTTCTCATGTAAAATTCTGCTAATTCTGTGGTTCCAAATTGCCTTCTGCACAATTTCTATGTTTCATTAAAATTTTCTATTTAGAAAAAAAGTTTCATGTTGTCTTTGGATGCAATAAATGAACGAGTACTTTTGTGAATGAAAAAGGATAAAAATGTCTTTAATTATCAGGAATATATATATATATATATATATATATATATATATATATATGACAATATTGAGGCATTCAATTTATGAGTTTTTTACAAAGTGTTTAACTTTAATAATTTTTTCTCGCACTTCCATGCTTTCTTCTTATATCCCATAGTTTTGGTGAAATGAATTAGTTACCCCTTAATAAAAAATTTGCACGGTCATGTTGACTTTCAAATTTACATTTATATAATCTAAAGTGTAAATTTACAATATGAATCATAGAATCTGAAATATAATTTACATCTCAGATTTTTTTTTCAAATTTCTATGAATTATACAACACAATTTAGAATATAATTTACATTTTCAAATGTCTTTCAAATTTATGTTATAGATAGTATAATTCAGAATGTAATTATATTATGGATTTTCTTCTAAATTTGTACTATGGATTCAAATATTTG